TCAAGGCTAGCGCCCTACCACTTGAGCCACAGCGCCACTTCTGGCTTTTTTTCTTTTTGCTTATGTGGTGCTGAGGAATCGAACCCAGGGCCTCATGCATACAAGGTGGCTCTACCACTGAGCCACCTTCCCAGCCCCCAAGACTGAGATTCTTCAATTAGACACCAAAAATCTGGAAATGGAGCAGTGGCTCAAGTAGTAGAGTATCAGCTTTGATTAAAAAAAAAAAAAAACACTTAGGGACAGTGCCCAGGCACTGAGTTCAAACCCCAGTACCAGCACAAAAGAAAAAACAAACTTGCAACACCTACCATTGTTTTGTGCTAATCCTAGAGCTTGAACTCAGGGACTAGGTGCTGTCCCTGAACTTCTTGGCTTAATGCTAGCACTCTACAACTTGAGCCACAGCTCCACTTCTGGCTTTTTTCATGATTAATTGGAGATGAATCTCAAACTCCTGCCCAAACTGACTTTGAACTGTGATCCTCAGATCTCAGCCTCATGAGTAGCTAGGATTACAAGTGTGAATCTGGCTTAATACCTATCTTTATAGCAGTAAAATTTACAATAGCCAAACTGTGCAACTAGTTTAAGTGCTCAGCAGATGACTAGATAAAGAATTTGTGGGGGCAGGGAAGGTGGCTCAGTGGTAGAGCGCTTGCCTTGAATGCCTGAGGCCCTGGGTTCCATTCCTCAGCACCACATAAGCAAAACGAAAAAAGCCAGAAGTGGTGTTGTGGCTCAAGTGGTAGAGCGCTAGCCTTGAGCTGAAGAGCTGAGGGACAGAGCCCAGGCCCAGAGTTAAGGCCCCATGACTGGACCCAAAAAAAAGAATTTGTGGTATATTCATACCATATTACACTATGGAGTATAAATATTTAGATATTAGGAAGGATGACATGCACAGGAGAGCAGAGCTGGGGGTCGTAATGGTGACCAAGATAAGCCAAACTCAGAAGTCCAAACAAAATGTTTTCACTGTGGAATCTAAGTCTGAAATGATGATGATGATAATAATGTGTCATGAGTGCGTGAAAATAAGAAGATAGCATAAGGAAATCCACCAAAAACTTGGGGATGGAGAGGGTAGAGTTAGGGGTATATAATAAAAAGGGAGAACTTGCTCAGAGTACACTGTACAAAGCTATGAGGGTGATATGATTCTTTGTTCTCTGGAACAGTTTGGAAATAAAGCCAACAGCAGCAGAAAAACTTGAAGAGAAAGTATATTACAATGCAAAAGTAAAGGCCACTTGGAAGAGCCAGACAGGGTAGCCTTTTTTTGCTACTTTTATCCCTTTTTTTAACATTCCTTTTTAATTAGGGGCAGGACTTGTTCAGGCAAAAGGCCTATTGGTCCATTTGAAATAGGGTTAGGTGATCAACTAGTTAGAGTGGTTTGGGTAGTTTTCCAAACTGGGGAACTACAGACTAGGTAGGGAAGGGTTGGTTAGGCTGGTTGGGTTGTGTGGATAAGCTTTCAGGAATGATGGTTGGGTCCCTGAAGACTTTTAGGAATGCTGATAGGACCCCTGGGGGATGGTTGATGTACAACTGTTATAAGGCTACTAACCATGGCATTTTCCCATCAAAGTTACCATAATAAACCCCTCTTGTACTACTGAGGTTTGTTAAAAAAAAAAGTATGTTAAGTATGAAAGGCTAGATAAAAGAATGTTTGTGACAGTGAGCCATGAGCTCTACAGTTCTGATCCTTGAGATTCCCAGAATTCTGTAGATGTCTACAGTAATTCCTTTGATTCTGTGAGGTATCTCATTATTTTGCAGTAAATCTCCTTTCCTGTTTAGTCAGGATTCCTGTAACTCACCAGAAGAAAGTCCTGAAATTTCCTGTCAGCCTCTCTTGTTAAGTTTCTGTGTTGATCATTGTTCTACACCCCAGAGTCATGACTCATTGCCTCATCACCTAGAATGCCTGTCATTCAGAGATAATTCTTCCTATACGGAGAGAAAAGCCAGAGAGCAGGCCTTAATCTGTGAACTGGCACACAAAGGAAGGGAGGGAGGGAGGGGGGAAGGAAAGGAAAGGAGAAAGGATGAGACTTGTGATGAGGAGCCCCAGGTACCAGAGTATAGATTGTCACTCCAATAACGACTATTAGACGGCCTATCTGTTCAGCATCTTACCTCATAGCCATTTAAGGAGACATAGAATTGAATAGAGGTGATGATGGGTTTTTGCTTTTGTAGGTTTGGAAGCTTTTTTTGGTAACAGGATTTGAACCTAGTCTCATGCTTGTGAGGCAGGCACTCTAAGCCAACCCCCCAGCCTAGTCTTAGTTTTTTGTGTTGGGTTTTTTTTTGTTGGGAGGGGGATAGTCCTGGGGCTTGAACTCAGGACCTGAGAGCTGCCCCTGAGCTTTCGTGCTCAATGCTAGTCTTCTATCACCTGAGTCATAGCTATACTTCCATGGGTGGTAGAAAAGAGTTTCTAAGACTTTCATGCTCAGGCTGGCTTCCAACTTTGATCCTCAGATCTCAGCCTCCTGAGTAGAGTTACAAATGTGACCCACCAGTGCCAAGGTTCATTCGGTCCTTTTTTTAAAAAATATATATAAAAGACCAATAATAGCAGTATGTTATGCATCAATAGCAGCAACAGCTTTTCCAGGTTCTGCAGTCATCTGAACAAAATTAGACATCCAGCACATCCATTAATGACTTTTATATTCTTTTGGATAGGCCTTAACTACTTACGGTTATGTCCTACCAAAAGGACATAATAGCACAACACAACTCCAAAACAAAAACAGAGGAGGGAAAAAAACAGCAGGGTGCCCGTGCCTGTAATCCTAGCCATTCAGGAGGCTGAGATCTGAGGATAGTGGTTCAAAGCCAGCCCAGGCATTAAAGTCACCTGGAGACACTCATCTCCAATTAACCACTCAAAACCCGGAAGTGGTGCTGTGGCTCAACTGGTAGAGCGCTGGCCTTGAGCATAAAGAGACTCAGGGCCAGCGCGTACATCCTGAGTTCAAGCCCCACAACCGACACACAACAACAAAAACAGTTAACACAACTCCTCCGCTAACGCCAGGAGTTCCTCGCAACTTCCTGCCACTTCCACCACGGGTCTTCTTCCGTCCGGCGCTTGGCGCGTGTCCATGACGTCAGCAAGGCGCCGCACAGTGGATTCGGGCCGCGCCACCTCCGTGGCTGTCTGCCCCGCGCGCAGATGCGATTTTTTTTTTCGGTTCCGGAAGTCCGGGACACGTGACCGGGTGACAGTGCTCGCTTGGCTGCAGAGCTGGTTTTAGGTGCTCCGGCACGGGATGGCGGAGGCGCCTCCAGTCTCAGGTACTGTCCTGGCCCTCACGGGGCTGGTCCCCTCTCAGGGAGCGGCAGGATGATCAGGGATGAAGATATGGCTTCGGCCATTAGATATCGCGAGAGCGGCGCATGCCGGAGCTGAGGATCGTGGCTCTGAGGGGCCAAGCCACGCGCCTGGCGCGTACCGAGGTCCTCCACCATCTTCTCCTGGGTGGTGAAGCCCAAGCAGCTGGGTTTCTCGGGAAGGAGGGCTCGTCTCCGCGCCCAGCGAGGCGATGTGGGTGTCCTGGCCTCCCTCCACAGGGGTCATCCGGCCTTCCGAGGACCGCCTTGCCCCGGCCTCCGACGGGCGGGCGTCGGGCGGGTCGCCGGGACCATCGCGGCCTCGCGACTCCGCTGAGTTGGTGCCCTGTGCTTGGGGTGTGTGGCGGTGTGCGCGCGCGGGAGCAGAACGCTGGTGGCAGGAATCGCAGCCTGCCACCGACTTCGTGGTCGACTCTCACTTTCCTCATCTGTCAGTCGAGAGCAAAGAACTTTATTCCTGTGAAGGCTTCGGCCCTGTACTTTTTACCTGTTCCGTCCTTGTTAACTCTTCCTCTTGTGGAATTGCCTCTTGTGTGTAGAGAGCCTCATTTAACTTATATAACATCCATTTCAGTTTGCCTTCAGGGTGGATGGGAAGAGATCCCTGTTTTCCAAACTTGGTGGATGGCGACCAAAAAAAGAAACATTTTGCATTACTGTCTTGGTGCAACAGTACCTAAGTATAGAAATAAGCCACATGTTTTAAGAAGTACTGGCTTTAGTACCAGCAATAGTTTTTATTTTTCCCTTTAAAAAGATATTTATCACGGCCCACCTCATTGATTTGATTTTTATTTCTCACACTTTCTAAAAATCTGCAAGAACAGCACTTAACAGCATGAAAACACTGTTTAAGTTGTTGGTTTGATGCTGAATATTAGGACTCCAGTAAGACTGTATGTATTTTTTGTACTGGGTGGCAAGTAAAATGTATTTATTACTGCAAATCTCAAGTTTTACAAGTTGAAATACATACATTACTGATGTACCGTAAGTCCTGACATAAATATTAAGTCATCTTGGGTGTGAGAAAACTTTTTAGGTTGGTGTTTTGTTATTTTCTTCATCTAGTCCTTCCCCAGACCCATTAAACTCATTTCCTATCCTCATGCTTCTGATGCTTTTTTTTTTTTCCCTAAATAGAATTTTGAACTGGACCTTAATTTGCTAGGCAAGTGCTTGACCACTTGAGCCATGTTCCCTGCCTTTTTTTTTATTTTTCTATAAGGGCTAGTTTTTGCTTGAGGCTAGCCTCATATCACAGTCCTCTTGCCCCTCCCCTGGCAGCTGAAATGACAGGCACATACCTGAATGCCTAGCTCATTTGTTGAGACAAATAGGTCTCACTTTTTGCCCCCACTGGCTTCAAATTTCAATTCTACTGATCCCAATTAGTATGCACCACTATGCTTTAGTTCCTATTCCATGTTGTTAACTTAGTATCATCTCAAGCCTTCAACAAACAACAGTCTAATCCTGGAGTCTCTTTTCTTTGGCCGACTCTCCAATGCCATCTTTTCTCTGGACTTTACAAACTACCAGTTGGACCTCTTTTATTCTACTTTGTTCACCTGTGAGTCACCTGCCTGTTATCTTGGATCTCTGGACCCACTTATATTAATATCTATGCTTTGGTGAGGAGAAGTCCTATTTACTGAATAACTTCCTTTTAAAATAACAAAAGGAGTCTAATCTTTGCCTTGTTTTCTGATTTGTGTGTCCCTCCTGTCTTTTAAAGTGGACCTTTCTGAGGGCTTTGAGAGCTGTCTCTATTCTAGTGAAATATAAACTGTGATTAAGTGCATCCCTATCTGGATCAGTTCATTACTGTTAAACATGGAACACTCTTTTTTGCATACCTCCCAGACTAATCTGGACAAATATACTTACCATATGTTTGTCCCTCTCTCCAGCCTTGCTTCCTTTTTTATTTAATTAATTTACTTGTTATTATAGAGATTATGTACAGAGGGATTACAATTACATGAGTCAGGTCATGAGTGTATTTCCTTTCCTACAATGTCTTTTGTTCCCTCATTCTCTCCCAGTCCCTCCCTCTTATCTACACCCCCAAGTTGTATAGTTTAATTTCATTGATACTGCCTGCCTTGCTTCTTGAAGGAGAGAACTGTACCATTTACCCATTCTCATTTAAATTATCTCATGTTTTCAGGACATGTTGGCCACTTGCTGAATTTGTCTAATCCTTTTTTTTTTTTTTTTGGTACCAGTCCTGGGCTTGATCTTGGATTCTGTACACTGTCCCTGAATTTTTTTACCTCAGTGTTAGCATTTTGCCACTGAGCCCCAGATCCACTTCTAGCTTTTTGGTTAATTGGAGATAAGAGTCTCAACAAGCTTTATTTCCTTGCCTGCCTTCTAACTATGATCCTTAGAGCTCAACCTCTGAGTAGCTAAGATTACAGGCTTGAGCCACTACTGCCCAGCCTGCCTATGTGAAAGTGTTGAGGACAATTCCTAAATTAAGTGAGAGATTACTCTGACCTTTATGATCTCGTTCAGTTTGTCATTATGTTTCTATGGTATCCATTGCCTTGCCTCTATCAGTGTAGTGAGTGTAAAAGCCATATATTCTAAGGATTCTGAGTCTTTTAATATTCCATGGCCTTAAGCAACTTACTCTCGGTGTGCCATTTCTTATTAATGTAAAGACTAAATGAGTTAAAAAGTACTTGAGCTGGGAATGTGGCTTAGTGGTAGAGTGCTTGCCTAGCATGCATGAAGCCCTGGGTTCCACTCTTCAATACCACATAAACAGAAAAAGTAAGAAGTGGCAGTGTGGCTCAGGTGGTAGAGTGCTAGCCTTAAGTAAAAGAAGCTCCAGAACAGGGCGCAAGCCCTGAGATAAAGCCTCAGGACTGACAAAAAAAAGCAAAATACTTATAGTAATGTGTGGCATATACTGATGTGACTGTTCAATGTGAAATTATCCTCTCCCAAGTGCCTTGAACCCATCACATTCACAAGAAACAGTTTTAACTAACAGCCTGCTTTATACAGTGTCTTTAGAAAAAAAATTTTAGACATATCTTTGTCTTATGCATTTCTGAAAGTTAATTTCTTATGTCCTAGGTACTTTTAAATTCAATACAGATGCTGCTGAGTTCATTCCTCAGGAGAGAAAAAATTCTGGTCTAAATTGTGGGACTCAAAGACGACTAGACGCTAGTAGGATTGGCAGAAGAAATCATAGTTCATCACCTCCCTGTCATCTCTCCAGGCAAGTCCCTTATGATGACATCTCTGCTGTTCATCAGCACAATTATCCTTCTGGAAGTAAACCTAAGAGTCAGCAGGCTTTTTTCCATTCTTCTTTAAATAAATCACTCAAGAATCATGGTCTTCAGAATCAACCTTGGCAAAAGTTGAGGAATGAAAAGCACCATATCAAAGTCAAGAAAGCACAGGCGCTTGCTGATCAGACCTCAGATACAGCTAGGTTAGAAAGTGTGGCCAGATCTGAAAGTGGGACAAACCCCAGAGAGCACAGCCCTTCTGAGAATGAAAAGGAAGTTGTTAGTGCAGATCCCAGGGGAGCAAAACCCAAAAAAGCAGCACAATTTGTGTACAGCTATGGTAGAGGACCAAAAGTCAAGGGGAAACTCAAATGTGAGTGGGGTCATAGAGTGACTCCAAAACCTGAGGATGCTGGACCTGACAATACGAGACCTGTGGGGCTTTCCCATTCTGACTCTTCAGATATATCCAGTAGAAAGGGGGTATTGGATGGGTATGGAGCTAAACGAAATGAGCAGAGAAGATACCCCCAGAAGAGGCCTCCTTGGGAAGTAGAAGGGGCCAGGCCAAGACCAGGAAGGAATCTACCAAAACACGAAGGTCAACGACATACAAATGCAGGATCCAAACATATGACTCCCATTCCAAAGGATAATCTTAATGAAAGACCAACACAGTCTGCCTGTGACAGTGGAAATTTGGCAATCATCAATAAGTCTTCCAGAAGGGTTGACCAAGAAAAAAATGTTATAAAGAGGCAAGATCCTAAAGTGGTATCTTCTTTTCCTCGGGGCAAACAGAACCTTGTGCTCAAGAATGTGGAAACACATACAGGTAAATGTGTCTAGGTGTGTAAAAATAAACTTTTAGGGGCTGGGAAGGTAGCTCAGTGGTAGAGTGCTAGCCTTGCAAGCATGAGTCCCTGGTTTCGATTCCTCAGCACCACTTAAGCAGGAAAAGCCGGAAATGGCACTGTGGCTCAAGTGGTAGAGCCCTAGTCTTGAGCTGAAGAGCTTAGGGACAGTGCCCAGGCCCAGAGTTAAGGCCCCACGACCAACAAAAAAATAAACTTTTAATATTAGTTAAATCATATGCTCCTATAATTGAAAAAAAAACTAGGAACTACAAAGTTTATTTCTATTTTAAACCACCATCTGTCTAGGTCCTACTACTGTCCATTTCCTTTCTCCCCAGGAAACAATCATTAATTGGTTTTATATGAATCAAAAGCAAATATGAATATAATTTTTTCCCAAATAGGGAGAATTTTTTAAAATGTAGATACAGGTGCTATAGATACATTTTTTTGGGGGGGGGTCTGGTCGTGGGGCCTGAACTCTGGGCCTGGGCACTGTCCCTCAGCTCTTCAGCTCAAGGCTAGCGCTCTACCACTTGAGCCATAGTGCCACTTCTGGCTTTTTTCTTTTTGCTTATGTGGTGCTGAGGAATCGAACCCAGGGCCTCAGGCATGCAAGGCAAGCGCTCTACCACTGAGCCACCTTCCCAGCCCCTGTAGATACATTTTTGAGTTATGAAAGCAGAATGGGGGCAATAACATCCCTGTCTCTACTGGATCCAATCTGCCTCACCTCATCTGTCTGCTCAGGTGCAACAATTCAGTTTCACTGTCTCTTAATCTCTCAGCTCATCTCTAACACATCTTGAAAATTCTGTCCTTGCTCTGCTTCCTTTCAAGCTTCTTAGCATTTGGACGTTCTGTCTTCTAATTTCCTCACCAGTTCATTTTCTGTCACCTCTCTTATTCCCTGGAATCTGTACTGTTTTGTCTTTCTATGCAGGTGGATGCAGCTCCGTTTGTCTAGAGTTCCTACCATGCATCTCACTTCACTGATGAATTCCTTTTCCATTGTGTTTTCTTTCTTTAGTTTGTGTGTGTGTGTGTGTGTGTCCTGAGATATGAACTCAGGGTTTCATACTTGCTAGGCAAGTACTCTCCTACTTGAGCCATATCTCCAGCCCCAGTCCTTTCTGCTTTTCTTAGGTATTTTTCAAATAGAGTTTCACAGTCTGCCCAGCCTTGGCCTCAGAACACACACAGAATACACCCAGGGGTAGCCCTATCTATTTCTCAACTGTAGGTAGGATTGTAGGTTTGAACTACATTCCTCTTGTTTTTGTTGAAATGAGGTCTTTCTAACTTTTTGTCTGGTTTAATTTGAACCTCAATTGTTCCTATCTTCTCCCAAATATCTGTTATTATAAGCATGTGTCACCATGCCTACATCGGTCATTTTTTACTAATATTTCACAAGCTAGTTCAGTGATATTCAAGAACCTATTCTCACCCCTATAGGTCACATTCATCTCTTCTAGCCAGTTACACACTCACTTTTCTGTTCAGAGCTTAACACTGGAAACCATTGTTTATGTGTCCATTAGTCTGTAAACCTCCCCTGGTCTATAAGCCACTTAAGTGTGAGTATTGTACTTTTCAGAATACATGTAGTTGTTGTGTGGTTCTGATTATTAAGGCGGTTCATCCTTACATTGAACTGAAAACTTTCTTATAAAGAACAACATAACAATTAAGTCCTTTTTTTTTTTAATGTCCAAAACCAGGACTCAGTATCTGACACTTTGATTCATTGGCTAGCACTCTGTCAACTGAGCTAAACCTTCAACCCTAAGCAACTAAATCCTTACAGCTTTCTTCCTCCTCGCTTCAAATCAGTCTCATCCCTCATTTTTTCCCTGAGTTTGTAATTTCATCAAGGCTAAATAACTAGTTGGTGTACACTTGTAATCCTAGCACTTACAAGGCTGAGGCAGGAAGATTGTGAGATCAAGGCCAGCCTGAACAGAAAAGTCTGTGAGATTCTTATCTCCAATAAAAATACTACATAGTGGTACCTTATTTTAAAATATTAAAAAGACAAAATAACTTAATTCTGCCAGCTCTTCCTCATGAACTGTTATCATTTTGATTCCTTTTGTTTAGTTCAGGCTATAGCCTTACCCATAAAGTTACTGAGCTTTTTTGTTGTTGTTGGTTGTGGGGCTGGCTTGCTTGCTTGCTTTTCTTTTCCTTTCTTTTCTTTCCCTTTTTCTTTTCTTTCTTTCGGCTAGCATTCTACCACTTGAGCTACAGCTTTACTTCCAGCTTCTGGATAGTTAATTGGAGATGAGTCTGTTACAGAGTTTCCTGTCTGAACTGGCTTCAGACTATGATCCTCAAATCTTAGCCTCCTGAGTGGTTAGGGATGACATGAGCCATCTGCACCTAGCTCTGGAGTTCTTATTGTATATTTTATTTATGTATGTATTTATTATGTATTTTGGAGGCAGAGTCTGGCTATATAGTCTAGGCTGGCCTTCAACTCATAATCTTCCTGCCTCAGCCTCCCAAGTGCTGGGATTATAGGCATCCAGATTTAGGTTTCCCTTTAAGCCAGCCACACAAAATGGTCCTTATTTCATGCATTCTCTACCTGGGTAGGGAAAGCTATTCCAAAAACTTTGGCGAAACCTTTAACTTTCAGGACAAATTAAAGAAACACTAATTTGATCCTTTATACCTTCATTTACCAAATACTTGTTGCTAGATACTAGAAACCCTATCTTGAGCCCTGCCCTCACACGTCCCTTCCCCTCTGGTCACAGACTTTGTAGTTATAGTCTTAAGATTTTCTGTATTTCTCTTCCCATATCTCCCTACTACTTTCCTCCCTCCTTCCCTTCCTCTTCCTGTCGTTTTTCCTTCCTGTTTTGTTACTGAGGATTGAATCTGGGGGACCCCAAGCTTACCTACCAACTGTGTCAAGACCCCAGTTCTTTGCTTTAATCTTGGTGTTGAAATAGGATTTTACCAACTTTGTTGAGGCTGGCCTTGAACTTACAGTTCTCTCCCCTTCATCTCCCAGGTAGCTGAGATTACAGGGTCAGCTTTATGGGCAAAATGAGTTTCCTTCAGTAGAAGCAAACTACATGTGAAATTTAAAAGACAGGAGTTTCCTTAATTTTTACATTAAATTGAACAACCAGAAAGTAACAATAACTTAGGAGAAACAATATTATGGAATGATTAAATGTGAGTTTTTCATTTAGATGAATTTGAATTTTTTCTTTTCGAAGTTTCCAGTCATATGACCTTTGGACAAGTGATCTATGTATTCTGGGTCTCAGTTTCTTCACCTATAAAATAGTATGTGCTCCAGGCACCAGTGGCTCATGCCTATAATCCTAGCTACCCAGGAGGCTGAGATCTGAGGATCAGAGTTTGAAGCCAGCCCAAGCAGAAAAATCTATGAGACTCTTATCTCCAATACACGACTTCGAAAAAGCCAGAAACAGTACTGTGGCTCAAGTGGTAGAGTGCTACCTTGAGCACAAAGAGGCTTAAGGACAGTCCCTAGACCTTGAGTTCAAGCCCCCCAGACTTGGAAGTGAATAAAGATAGCTATTTCTTCAGGAGAGAGTCTGGGAGTTTGTTTTGTTTTGTTTTTTCCTTCCTTCTCTGCACTGTGTGTTGCCATGTTGCCCATGTTGGTCTTAGGCTCATAAGCTCAAGTGATCCTTTGCCTCAGCTTCCTGAGTAGCTGGGACTATAGGCATGTGCCATGCACCTAACTTAATCTGAGAGGATCTTATGATGTTGTATTCAGTCTCTCACTAAATGGTGAGTTTCTTCCATCAGAGACTTGTCTCTCCTTCAATCTGTAACCCCACTACGAGGTGCCAAACATATCTTCATTGAATGAATTACCAGTTTTTAGAACAACTGTTGAAAGTGTTGTTAAAATTTACAGGCTTACAGCTGACCACTGTAGTTTAATGAACCCTAACTATGGTTTTAGTTGCTTCAGAGATTGCAAGGCAAAATCCCACAGCAGTGTCCAGAGCGTGTTCAAGCTCTGTTACAAATGCTGTAAGTAGCATTTGACTACTCTGCTGTCTTCCTGGGCAGCTTCTTAGGAATTTTTTTTCTCAATTACAGGATTCGTCATGTAAATATCTCCTTTATATATCTTCTACTTCAGCATATTCCTGTCCCATCTTTGCCTCAAGATCTGAATATCCATCCTAGATAACCCTTTCTTGTTTTTTTTTTCTTGCCTGTTAATCCGTTATAATTTATTAGCTGTACAGTAGTAGATCCTTCTCCTCCCCATCTTTCAACCCCATTTCTTGTTTTGTTTTTTAAAATAGGTTCTCTAGTTGAACAGCTAACTGCAGAAAAATATGAGTGCATGGTATGCTGTGAATTGGTTCGAGTCACAGCCCCAGTGTGGAGTTGTCAGAGCTGTTATCATGTGTTTCATTTGAACTGCATAAAGAAATGGGCCAGGTCTCCAGCGTCTCAAGCAGGTCAGTTATCTCTCAGCAGTTTTAATCTCAGCCTTTTGGTACATTCAGGTTATAAATATGTCTTTGTAGATACTATGTAATTATTTTAAGTACTTTATCTGCAAGTAGAATATGTTGCTATGATCACATGTTTCAGGTGCAGCTAAACTATGGTAAGCTGGACACCAATGGCTCACACCTATGAACCTAGTTAATCAGGAGATTGAGATCTGAATGCCAGCCTGGATAGAAAAGTCCCCGTGAGACTTATCTCCAATTAACCACTCAAAAACTGGAAGTGAAGCTGTGGCTCCAAGTGATAAAATGCCAGCCTTGAGCAAAAGAGCTCAGGTACAACACCCAGGCCCTGAGTTCAAGCCCCATGACTGACCAAAAAAAAAAAAGAGTAGAGTATGGTAAAATCAGTCACTGTTAGTGAAAATGGAGACTTTCACCCAAGTATAACTATAGAAAGTACTGATTATATAATTTGCTTTAGAAATGTATGCAGATCCATTGTTTCACTTACCCTCAGGATGTTAAACTTGTTTTGGCCTTTCACTAATCTGCATAGTATATTATAGGCTTGTCCTAAAGTGTAGTAGTATTAGCCACGTAGTGGTGGTACATGCTGTAATCCTAGGTACTTAGGAGACTGAGATCTGAGGATTAAGGTTTGAAGCCAGCTCTGGCAGGAAAGTCCTTGAGATTCTTATGTCAAAAAGCTGGAAGTAGAGCTATGGCTCAAATGGTAAAGCACTAGTTTTGAGCAAATGTGCCTCTGATCATACAAAATAGTATATTGAAATTAACTCCTTTTGAAGCCTGCTCAGGCAGAAAAGTCCCCTGAGACTTCTATCTCCAACTAACCACTCAAAAACCAGAAGTGGCCTTGTGGTGCAAGTAGTAGAGCAGTAGGCCTTGAATGCAAGAGGCTCAGAGACAGTACCCAGGCACTGAGTTCAGGCTCCACAACCAACAACAACAAAAGACTCTCACAGACTTTCCTGCATAGGCTGGCTTTGAACTGCAATCCTCAGATCTCAGCCTGAGTAGGATTACAGGTATGAGCCACCGGCTCTCAGTTTTCTTTCCTTTTTGTTTTGTTTGTTCGTTTATGTGTCTTTGGGAGTATAAGGGGAGCCCCAGAAATGGAGGGACAAAGGGTGAACAAATACAGCAATGGTACTCACTGCACACTATGTTGAAATAAACTTTACAACATGTGGGTGGGGTTGGGAGGGAAATACTGGGAGAGAGCAAGGGAAGGGAAGACATTGTCCAAAAAGAAATGTTGTTTTGTTTTGGGGTTTTATTTTTTGTTTTTGTTTTACCAGTTCTGGGGCTTGAACTCAGGGCCTGAGCCTCTCTGTGCTCAAGGCTAGTGCTCTACCACTTGAGCCACAGCCCACTTCCAGCTTTTTCTGGTTATGTACTATTGAGGAATGGAACCCAGGGCTTCATGCATACTAGGCAAGCACTCTACCACTAAGCCACATTCCCAGCCAAGAAATGTACTCTTTACCTGACTTCTGTAACTTTAAGCCCTCTGTACATCACCTTTATAATAACAATAAAAAAATTATTTTTTGGGGGGGGGTCCAGTTGTGGGGCCTGAACTCTGGGCCTGGGTGCTGTCCCTCAGCTCTTCAGCTCAAGGCTAGTGCTCTACCACTTGAGCCATAGCGCCACTTCTGGCTTTTTTCTATTTGCTTATGTGGTGCTGAGGAATCGAACCCAGGGCCTCAGGCATGCAAGGCAAGCGCTCTACCACTGAGCCATCTTCCCAGCCCCTAATTTATTTATTTATTTATTTTTTTTTTGCCAGTCCTAGGGCTTGAACTCAGGGCTTAGGCATTTTCCCTGAGCTACTTTTGCTCAAGGCTAGCACTCTACCACTTGAGCCACAGTGCTACTTCCAGCTTTTTCTGTGTATGTGGTACTGAGGAATGGAACCCAGGGCTTAATGCATGCTAGGCAAGCACTCTTACTACTAAGCCACATTCCCAGCCCCAAAAACAAAAAAAAATTTTAAAAAGTGTAATATTATTTATGGATAATGTAAATATACTTATCAACGTATTATTTATGCTTTTTTATAATTCAAAACATCTGAAAGTTGAACTCAGGGCCTGGTTGCTGTCCTGGTTGCTGCTGAGCTCTTTTTGCTCAAAGCTAGCACCCTACTACTTTGAGCCACTGTGCCACTTCCTTTCTTTTTCATGCTGGTACTGGGGCTTGAACTCAGGGTGGTGTTCTATCACCTGAACCACACTACCACTTCTGGAGATGAGCCTGAAGATTTGTCTGCTTGGGCTGGTTTTGAACCATAATTCTCAAATCTTAGCCTCCTGAGTAGCTAGTACAGGCATGAGTCACCAATGCTCAGCTCACCCTTTTTTTCAAACCAAGATTCAAATAATGTTAACATTAGAAATAGTTGGGCATGGCTGGGTGCTTGTGGCTCATGCCTGTAAAATCCTAGCTACTCAGGAGGCTGAGATTTGAAGATCACAGTTCAAAGCCAGCACGGGCAAGAAACTCTGTGAGGCTCCTATCTCCAGTAAACCACCAGAAAACTGGAAGTGGCGCTGTGGCTCAAGCAGTAGAGCACTCACCTTGAGCTGAAGAGCACAAGGATAGCACACAAGCCCAGAGTTCAAGCCCCAGAACAGACCAAAAAAAAAAAGAAAAGAAATAGTTGAGCATGACCAGGGGAAAAAAAAATAGTTGAGCAGTGTAGATAGCTTATTCACTGTATCTAAAAGTCCTTAAAAGCTGAAATCCTGTACTTAAGCAAAGCATTCATTACTGTGGATTTTTTCTTAAATGTCTGATACATTCAACTTAGAAATTACTACCTTTGGTTGCATGGCTCATGCCTGGAATCTTAGCCATGCAGGAGGTTGAGATCTAAGGATGGTTCAAAGCCGGCTTGGGCAGGAGAGTTCATGCAACTCTTTTTTTTTTTTTGGGGGGGGGTCCGGTCATGGGGCCTGAACTCTGGGCCTGGGCGCTGTCCCTCAGCTCTTCAGCTCAAGGCTAGTGCTCTACCACTTGAACCACAGCGCCACTTCCGGCTTTTTTCTTTTTGCTTATGTGGTGCTGAGGAATCAAACCCAGGGCCTCATGCATACAAGGCAAGCGCTCTACCACTGAGCCACCTTCCCAGCCCCTCATGCAACTCTTATTTCTAATAAATCACTAAAAAGCTGAAGTGGAGCTGTGGCTCAAGTGGTATAACACTAGCTTTGAACACAAAATCTCAAGGACAGTGCTCTGGTCTGAGTTCTCAGGACCAGCACACACATGAAAATAAATAAATAGGGCTGGGAAGGTGGCTCAGTGGTAGAGGGTAGAGTGCTTGCCTTGCATGCATGAGGCCCTGGGTTCGATTCCTCAGCACCACATAAGCAAAAAAGAATAAAACCCGGAAGTGTCGCTGTGGCTCAAGTGGTAGAGCGCTAGCCTTGAGCTGAAGAGCTGAGGGACAGCGCCCAGGCCCAGAGTTCAGGCCCCATGACCGGACCTAAACAAACAAACAAACAAATAAAATATATAAAAAGCTACACTGTTGAAACAAAGGTAGTAATTTCTTTTTATTTTTTTTTCTTGCTGGTCCAGGGGCTTGAACTCACACTGGTTTTTGTGCTCAAAGCTAGTACTTTACCACTTGAGCCACAGCTTCACATTCAGCTTTTTGGTGTTAATTAGTGATAAGAGCTCATAGACTTTCCTGCCTGGGCTAGCTTTGAACTGAGATTCTAGAATTACACGTATGAATCTCACCAGTATCCATCTATAGATTTAAATTTTTAAAATTTACTTGTGCTTTTTGTAACAAGGGTGCTGGAGATTGACCTTGAGACTTATATAGGCTATGCATTCACTCTTACTACTGAGCTACACTCCTAGCCATCCTTGTGCTTCTGAAAGAAAATTTACTTAATGTACTCTTGTTTCTTATGACAGATGGCCAGAGTGGTTGGCGGTGCCCTGCCTGTCAGAATGTTTCTGCACATGTCCCTAATATCTACACTTGTTTCTGTGGTAAGCTTATTTGCATACACTGGGGCATCATTCACTTTATACATTGTACCTTAGTTCTCATTCAAGGAGAGGTAGTCTTCTGGTCTTGTTTTACTTGAAAGATATGAGTCTGTAAGAGCATATGCTTGTGGTCTATGGCCCAACTAGTTACGGCCTTGATGTTTTTGGCAGGCTGTTAGGAAGATGGACTTTCTTATTATGCCAACCAGACTCATGTTGCTTCTGAATTGTGGACCTGGCCTCCTTATCTTAGCTTGATAACAGAGCTGACAAGGAGACAAAGGCAGGTATTAATTAATGTGGGCGCTTCAGCCCCAACTCTAGCAGAGTTGATATTTTGTGTATAGTCAACATGAGTGATGGTAGGATTGATTTCAATCGAAGAAATAATTTGTCTTTAAAGAGAGATTTTTCTATAAACCAGCATTTTCTTAATTTTTCTACTCTTGCATCCTCCCTCTATGGATTATTTCTTCTTGTTTTTTAATCCCTTGGTTCCTATGTATTAGGAAAAGCTTTCTTTAATGCAAATGCTTATTGGATACTGCCAGCCTGTTTATGTGTTTTTTGTTTCCTTCCTGACTTTTAATAACTAACCTTTACCATCTAGTTGATTTTTTTCAGATTTTGTTTCTTAACTATTAGTCTTCCTACTGAAACCATTGCAGTTTTGCTTCTGTCCTCATTGCCTCCCTGAAATCATTCACAGTTACCAGAAGCCCCTCCCTGGCTATGCATAGGGCTGATTTATAATTTCTTAACATTTTTGTAAGCCTAACTGTCAAAAATGTTCAGGGCATTTGTTGTTGCTGTTGCTTTGTTTTTGGGTGTGGTGGTACTGAGGATCAAGCTGAGGATGTCATGCATGCCAGGATACAGCCCTTACACACTCCTTTTCTTTAAATTCTCATCCACTTCTCATTCAGAGTTGGACCCCAAATTCTCTCTTCCCAAGGAAGCTTCATTTTGTTACTTCTTTTCTCTTTTGGCCTCTCTTTTATTTGGAATCTACTGGTTTTATATGTCTTATTGCCAAAATCTGAGCCTAAAAGATAATTAAATTGGTATTAGTTGAGGGAATAAATAATCTTGAATAAAAAATATCCCGACAGTTGAATCAGAAGTCATTGGAAAGTGACTTAATTATCTTAAAATATTTTAAATATAAAGTTCCATAATATAATTAAAAATCTTGTTAAAGGCTTCACTGGCAAGTTAAATAAGAGACTCTAAGAAGGCATAAGAATTTAAGATGAGGGCTGGGAAGGTGGCTCAGTAGTAAAGTCCTTGCCTTGCATGCATGAGGCCCTGGGTTCGATTCCTCAGCACCACATGAGCAGAAAAAGACGGAAATGGCACTGTGACTCAAGTGGTAAAGCACTAGCCTTGAGCTGAAGAGCTCAGGGACAGTGCCCAGGCCCAGAGTTCAGGTCCCACAACTGACCAAAAAAAGAATTTGAGATGAAGGTGAAAGTAAGGAGACTGGGTTATGCTTTCCCTAGAAAACTGGCCCTTGATTTCCCCTGATTGTTTCCCTAGGTGGTTTGCTTTTATTTAATACGTCTATTAAGTTTAAGTGTCCTCATCTGGTTTGCTTTGCTTATATTTAACGCCTTTACTAAATTAACGCGTCCTCATTGTTTTTCTTATGTATAACACTTGTAGGTTTAATTCCTCACACCTTATGTGATTTTTGCCTATATAAGCTTTGTGCTAGCTGCTAGCTCCTGGTCTCTGAGACGAGAGTCCAGCAGCAGTTCTCTGGCTTTCCAATAGACTCACAAAAATTTAGCCTCTTAAGTGGTGGCGTCTTTGTTTCTTGCAACTGAGTTTCCTTACAACAGTTGTCATTTTTGAATATGTGAATTGATTCCTCAAGAACAAGAAGTGTGCCACAATTTTATCTTTCCACCTCTGTACTAAATCTAAGGCAGGCCTCGGTAAAGATTCATACAGTGACATTGACTATGAAATTATAGCCCTTTGCCTACTTTATAGCTACCATATAGGAAATTTTTGTACTTTCCTCTTAGAGCATACTTCTCCTCCTTTCTTAATACTTTCCCTCCTTCCTTCTTTTCCTTTCTTTCTCTTTTTCTTCCCACTTCCCCTACTCCCTTTCTCCTCCCTTCCTTTCTTTCTTTTCTTCCTTCTCTCCCTTCTTCCCTCCCTCCCTTTCTTCCATCCTTCCTTCCTTCTTTGCTTCCTTCCTTCATGTTCTAGAGATCAAGCCCAGGACATAGTTCTCTACCACTGAGCTATATCTCCCAGCCTTCTTCACTTACTTCTTTCTCATCTCTCTCAAATATATTACTTTGTAAGTCCAGGGGTCCATTTATTGAAGGTTTAGCTAATACTTATCATAGTTTTATCATCTTAGGTTGTATTCATTAGACAGAACAGCATTTTCATAAGTAAAAATGTCTTTATTTTCAGGTAATCTAGAATTTAATATTTATTGTGTTTGGTGAAGTTTTGGTAACATTCAGCCATTTAAAAAAATTAGGATGTGAAATAATGCATTCATTACACTAATAAAAACTACACTTAAGGTTCATACTGTCTACATATATAGTACTGTTTAGAGATGAGGACATAGTTTCAATTTGTAGCATTGACTCTCTGATCTAATATGTTTTAGGCAAGGTAAAGAATCCTGAATGGAGCAGAAATGAAATTCCACATAGTTGTGGTGAGGTTTGTAGAAAGAAGCAGCCTGGCCAGGATTGCCCACATTCCTGTAACCTGTAAGTTGGAATGCTAGACCTCTGGGGATTCCTGGTACACATGCTTTGCTGATTGTTTTGAGTACACATACCTGGTTAGCATCTAACAGGTTGGGGTAAAGAGTAATAGGATACTATTTACTGAACAATTACTCTATACCAGGCACTCTATGTAAGTTAACCTGAGCTTTACCACAGCTCAGTGATCCTCACAGATGCTCAGAAAAGCATCTTGCCCAGTATCACAATTATAGAACATAATGGAGCTGGAATTTTTCAATCCAGTGTTTTTTTAACTGTATTAAATTGCTGGCTTTGTGTGTGTGCGTGTGTGCTTGTATGTGCATGCACCAACATTAGGCATTGAATTCAGTACCTCTCATTTCTGGCTTGGCTTTTTTGCTCAAGGCTGGTGGTACTCTTATCACTTGAGTGGTGCGTTTAGTTCTACAATGCTTCTAAAAAAGAACTAAGACTCAGATATTTTATCCCTCAGTGATCTCCAGATTCAAGAGGAAGTATAGGATGGCCAGGAGAAAAGGCATTTGTGTAGTATCTTGTCTGTGTCTTGTCTAGTATCTTGTCTTTTTATTTTATTTCATTTTATTTTTATTTTTTGTTGATCTGGGCCTGAAAGCTGTCTCTCAGCTCTTCAGCTAAAGGCTAGTGCTCTACCTCCTGAGCCAGAGCATCACCTCCTATCTTGTCTTTTTAGACTGTGAGTCCTTCCCTACAGTAAATAGCCAGTTTTAGAATGTATCCACTTAGCATCTAAATAAGTGGTAGTACTAGTATTAGTAGTAGTAACAGGCTCAGAGAGAAACTCATAGAGTTGATCAGTTACAAATGAAGAAGAAAAAAATTTCTGCAAGCTTTGACCTTGTGTATACAGAGTTAAATCTTGGATCTGAGTCATTTAAAATAGTTATGTGACCTTGGACAAGTTAACTTCTCTAAGCCTGAGTTCTGCATCTGTAAAATAATGTTGCTATGAGTAATACTCACATGATTCTGTGAAAATGGAAAAAAAATAATGCACGTAGAGGCTTGGTACAGAGTCTTTCAAGTGGTTAAAAAAAATGGTAATGTTTATTAACAGAATCTAAGAGCTAGGTACTGGTGACTCACACCTGTAATCCTAACTATTCAGGAGGCCAAGATCTGAGGATTTTGGTTCAAAGCCAGCCTGGGCAGGAAAGTCTGTGAGACTCTTATCTCCAATTAGCCACCAGAAAACCAAAAGTGGTGCTGTGGCTCAAAGTGATAGAGTGCTAGCTCTGAGTGAAAAAGCTTAGGGACAGGGCTCAGGCCCTGAATTCAAGTCCTACAATTGACAAAAAATAAAAATATAAGAGTAAAACAAGCACAGAGGGTTATTGCACTATTTCTGCTACATGGAGCTGGGGAAGATATTGGACTAGAGCCTCGTGATTGATCAAGTAAAGGTGATGGTGCCTGGGAATCAGCTGTGGGATAGAGCTGTTTTAGACTTGGCTTAAACAGCGTGGCCCACAATCTGCTGGGCAGGTAGAGGCTGACTGCTTCCCTGGGACCTTCTTCCTTTGGAACTTATTTACTAAGATTGTTCCTTTCTCTAGCTGGCATTTTAAATAAATTTAGTGAAAAGAAAATATTCTCTTCAAAGTATTTGCAGAAATGGGCTCTGGTTCTAACAATCAGAGAACATCGAAAGATTCTAGTCAGTACTGTGCCAGAAGAGAACTAATGTCCTCAAACATACTCATTTACACTTATCAGGACTCAGAAAGGACAATGACTTCTTTCTCCATTTTCATTTGTTCCAGTTTGTCCTGAAGTTCTCTAGAGCAGTGTTCATTACCCCTGGCTATGTATTACAATAATTTAAAAACATCATTCGCTATCTCAGAGCAATTAAATCAGAATCTCTATGGGTGTTTTCTGAACTTCTCCGGGTGTCTCTGTGTGTGTTATGGTGGTACTGCTGCTGTGGATCACTCAGGACCTTGCATATACTATTCTAAGTGATAGTCTACCACTGTTAAATCCCCAGCTACCTCTGTAGTTTTAGAAGCTCTTTAGGTGATTTCAATTTGTAGTGAAGTTAAGAAAACCTAGAATTGAGATTGGGAACGTGGCTTAGTGGCTTCATGCTTGCCTAGCATGCATGAAGCTCTGTACCACATAAAGCTCAATACCACATAAATAGAAATGGCACCATGGCTCAAGTGGTAGAATGCTAGCATTGAGCAAAAGAAGCTTAGGGACAGTGCCCAGGTCCTGAGTTCAAACCCCAGGACTGGCAAAAAAAAAAAAAAATCCTAGAACTGAGTTCAGGTCTTAAATTTTTGAGATTACCTCTATATAATCTGACCCACAGTTTGTCATTTAAAATTATTTAAATTGTTCCATCTGAAAGAGTTGAAACATACCATATGACATATAATTAGTGAAAATGATTGTCATCTTTAAAGAAACATGCTTTTGTCTTCAGTGGTCTGTGAGGGATTACCTTAGAAGACTAAGCTCTCTTTCCTGGATTGTTTCCACTGCTCAAACTTTTTTCTTGTGCCAGTCTTGGGGCTTGAATTCAAGGTCTGGGAACTGCCCCTAAACTTTTATGCTCAATGCTAGTGTTCTATTACTTGAGCCACAGCTCCACATCCAGCTTTTTTGAGTAGCTAATTGGAGATAAGAGTCTCATGGACTTTCCTGCCCAAGCTGGGTTTGACTGTAGATCCTCAGATCTCAGTCTCCTGAGCAGCTAGGACTTAGATTACAGGTGTGGTTCCCTGGCACCCAGCCTCAACCCTTCTTTAAGAGTTACTATTGTTGGTTTAGGAGTTACATATAAAGCCAAATACCCAGTCAGACTACTTTATAAATATGTTTGGCTTTTTTTTAACTTCAAATTCTATTACCCAGGCCATTACTTAGATGTGCCTCATACTGATTTTTAATTCTGACAGGTTTATTATACTTTGCCATCACTTAGAATGCTTGTCTCCCAAAAGAGTTCTTGTAAAAGGTCCCAAAATGTAAATAGTGATACTTTTGAAGCAGTATGCACACTTTAAGTTATATATGTATTTGAAAATACAAATTTTATTTGTTTTTTTTTATTGTTCTCTAATATAAAAAAATTCTCCGGCTGGGAAGGTGGCTCAGTGGTAGAGCGCTTGCCTTGCATGCATGAGGCCCTGGGTTCGATTCCTCAGCACCACATAAGCAAAAAGAAAAATGCCGGAAGTGGCACTATGGCTCAAGTGGTAGGGCTCTAGCCTTGAGCTGAAGAGCTGAGGGACAGCGCCCAGGCCCAGAGTTCAGGCCCCATGACTGGACCTAAAAAAAAAAAATTCTCTTCAGATGTCTAATTCTGACATGTAATATATTACTGAGCTCAGGTCTACTCATGACACCTGCCTCTTCCATCTCTTTGTTTCTTACCAATGTGTCACCTCATATCAACCTATCACTGCTACTCTGTTGTTGCTCTGTTGTTTGGATATTACTTCACTAGCTGATGTATATAGTTCTCTTAAACTAAGTAGATTTTCTCAAACTCTGATCTTGTATAGGATTCCCAATACTAGTCTGCCAATCAATTGAGTGGCAAGCTAAATTATTTTTTTCCTTCTTTCCTTTCTTCTTTCCCTCCCTCCCTTCTTTCTATCTTTCCCTTTCTCCCTCCCTCTCTCCATTGTTCGTTTGAAACAAGATCTTGATATATATCCCAGGATGGCTTTAAACTCAATCCTTCTGCTTCAGCCTCCCAAGTGCTAGGATTATGGATGTGGTCCACCATTGCCTGGCTTATTTCTTTTTCTTTTTCTTTTTTTTTTTTTTTTGCTTGGCAGTGCTGGAGATTAGACCCAGGACTTCCATATACTAGGCAAGTGTTCCACAGCTGAAGGGCGAGAGGCACATTCCCTGGATAGACCTAGTCCATATTTGAAGAACATCATTGTTGAATGTTAGACCTATATAAAACCAGTGTTTTGTGATTCCCTTGATTCTGTTTTGACTTAGGCTTTGTTTTTCTGGCTTAATACTCCAAAATGATAATGTTGTCTGTCTGTCCTGCATAAAAATACAATTGCTAACACGGTGCCAGTGGCTCATACCTCCTAGCTACTCAGGAGGCCAGCATCCAGAAGATCATGGTTTGAAGCCAGCTTAGCCAGAAAAGTCCAAGAGTTCTATCACCAAAAAAATAAGCAGCAAAAAGCTGGGTTGGAGGCATGGCTCAAGTAGTCGGCTGAGCAATAGCAAAACCCTGAATTCGAACCCTGGTTCTGCCAAGAAGAAAATAATAATTGCTTTATTTAGGTTAATCAAGTTTAGAAATACACGGAAATATTTCATGGTACGTTTGTTTGCTGCCATGTTTACAATAGGATCCAGTTGAGGAAGCTTTGTTTTGGTTCGGGTACATGGGTATGATTTACATTGAAGCCTTTCTTTTTTAGTCTCTGCCATCCTGGACCATGCCCACCCTGCCCTGCTTTTATGACTAAGACATGTGAATGTGGACGGACCAGGTAAAGATACATTTGCACTTCCCAGAAAACCTCAGTTTCTACAGAATGCATGATTTACTTGTGAATTTTTAAAGTAAAAACAATAGTAATTTGGTTTTTTTTAAATGGTAGGTATAAATAAAGTCATCCCTTGGTATCCATGGGGAATTTTTTCCCAGGACATCTGAGGGTTAAAATTCACAAATTATCTATCCTTTAATCATCTTTATATATTCTATATTAATACAGTATAGATAACTTTTTAGCTACTAGCTAGGCTGAGGTCTGAAGGTCATGTTCAAAGCTAACTTAGGCAGGAAAAGTCCATGGAAAAGTCCATCTCCAGTTAGCCACCAAAAAGCTGGAAGTGGAGCTGTGGCTCAAGTGATAGAGCAAAAAAGCTCAGAGATAGTACCTAGGCCTTGAATTCAAGGCCCCAGACTACAAAAATAACAAATCTATATACATTCAGTACACACAATTAAAAAAAATATTAGGCTGGGCACTGGTGGCTCACACCTAGAATCCTAGCTACTCAGGGGGCTGAGATCTGGGGATTGAGGTTCAAAGCCAGCCTAGGCAGGAAGTTCATGAGATTCTTATCTCCAACTAATCACAGAAAAAAGTGGAAAGTTGTGTTGTGGCTGGGAGAGTACTAGCCTTGAGCAAAAGGAGCCCAGGGACAGGTCCCAGTCCCAAAGTTCAAGCCTCAAGACCAGCAAAGAAAATAAAAATTAAATTAAAAAAATATATTGTTGATCTGCTCTTGTTGAATCTATGTATTAAGAAATCTTAGGGGTCTGGGAAGGTGGCTCAGTGGTAGAGTGCTTGCCTTGCATGCATGAGGCCCTGGATTCAATTCCTCAGCACCACATAAACAGAAAAAGGCGGAAGTGGTGCTGTGGCTTAAGTGGTAGAGCTCTAGCCTTGAGCTGAAGAGCTGAGGGACAGCGTTCAGGCCCATAGTTCAAGCCCCACAACCGACCCCCCAAAAAAAAATCTTTAGATACACAGAGCTAGCTTTAATACTTTTTTTATTTTAGAGGGTTTTTTTTTTTTTTTTTTGCCAGTCCTAGGGCTTGAACTCAGAGCTTAGGCACTGTCTCTGAGCTTCTTTTGCTCGAGGCTAGCATTCTACTACTTGAGCCACAGCACCACTTCAGCTTTTTCTGTTTATGTAGTACTGAGGAATTGAACCCAGGGCTTCATGCATATGAGGCAAGTGCTCTACCACTAAGCCACATCCCCAACCTTAATACTTTTCTTTTTTTTTTTTTTTTGGTCTGGTCATGGGCCTGGGCGCTGTCCCTCAGCTCTTCATCTCAAGGCTAGCGCTCTACCACTTGGGCCACAGCACCACTTCCGGCTTTTTTCTTTTTGCTTATGTGGTGCTGAGGAATCAAACCCAGGGCCTCAGGCATGCAAGGCAAGCGCTCTACCACTGAGCCACCTTCCCAGCCCCCCCCCCAACCTTAATACTTTTCTATAAATAGTTTCTTGTAATCCTTGATTCTCTTTTGCAATCTTATAATTGGTGAAGTTCTATGCACAGTAAAGTAGTAAGATTACCTAATTCAGGGGCTGGGAATGTGGCTTAGTGGCAGAGCACTTGCCTAGCATGCATGAAGCCCTGGATTCAATTCCTCAGTACCATATAAACAAAAAAGTCCAAAAGTGGCACTGTGGCTCAAGTGGTAGAGTGCTAGCCTTGAATAAAAAAAGCTCAGGGACAGTGCCCAGGCCCTGGGTTTAAGCCCAGGATGGGAGGGAAAAAAACTATCAAATTCAGATGAAATGTCAAGGTGACAGGAATTTTTTTTGGGGGGGTGGGGGGGTTGGAAGGGGCCAGTGGTGGGCTTGAACTTAGGGCCTGGGTATTGTCCCTAAGCTTTTTGGCTCAAGGCTAGTGCCCTACCACAGTGCTACTTCCGGTTTTCTGGTAGTTAATTGAAAAGTCTCACAGATGTTCCTGCCTAGGCTGGCTTGTAACTGCAATCCTCAGATCTCAGCCGCCTGAGTAGCAAGGATTACAGGTGTGAACCAGCAGGAATTTTAGATTGACATATTTATATCTACTTTCTATAGACACACAGTCCGCTGTGGCCAGGCTATCTCAGTCCACTGTTCTAACCCATGTGAGAATATTTTGAACTGTGGTCAACACCACTGTGCAGAGCTGTGCCATGGGGGTCAATGCCAGCCTTGCCGGATCATATTGAACCAGGGTAAGCAATGCTTGGGGACTTCTGGAATTACATGGTATGTGAATTGCATTGCAAGTGAAAAGCCACAGGGACAGTGCTCATGCCCTGAGTTCAAGTACCACACAATCCATGGTGTCCATCATGGGCTTAGGAACCAGATAGTATCCTCTTAGTCTAGAGGTGTTCACAGTAACGTGTTCTTGGGATATGCTACATTGGCATAATGAGATATTGGTAAATAGTCCTTTTTATTCCTGTGTAAAACTTCATGTGTATAAATCACATTAATTTCTGCATCGTCTGATCACCACTTGACCAAAGAGCATTTTGTGTCATCTTATAGATTGTCAGGAGTATTTCACGAACACATTCAGGCTACCAATCTTTTGTTTTGTAATTGTCTCTTCTAGTATGCTATTGCGGCAGCACTTCCCGAGATGTATTATGTGGAACAGACATAGGAAAATCTGATGGATTTGGAGACTTCGGCTGTTTAAAGATATGTGGCAAGTAAGGTTTTTACATTTTCCTCAGAATGCAGCTTTTTTAAAAACAAAACAGTTATTTAATAGTCTTGTTTTTCTTAATAGGGATTTGAAATGTGGAAGCCATACCTGTTCTCAAGTGTGCCACCCTCAGCCTTGTCAGCCTTGTGCACGGCTTCCCCATCTAGTGCGCTGCTGCCCTTGTGGCCAGACTCCTCTCAGCCAATTGCTAGAACTTGGAAGCAGTGGTCGGAAAACATGCATGGATCCTGTTCCCTCATGTGGAAAAGTGTGTGGCAAGCCTCTGCCTTGTGGTTCTTCAGGTAACTAGTCAGCATAAAATGGCTTTAAAAGTATTCATGTAAATGTTTAGCAGCAGTGACACACTCACAAAGGAGTATTAAGATTCACTTATAGGATAGGGGGTTCTTGTAAATATTGTTATTGAATTTGTGTGGGTACTTTTCCTCCTCGAAACATTCTTGGGAAAATGACATCTCTCCAATTTAGGTATTTTATTTATTATCAACTTGGTAACTGTAGGATGCTATGCCTCAGGAGAATTATGTCTCTTATCAGCGTACTCTGTTGTATCCACCCTCTAAACTTTTACTAATCCAGGGTTCAGCAAGTGTTTAAATGCTTTTTTCTATAATAGGAACATGCAAAAACAATTGGGTGGGATTTTTGAGAACTATAAAGGTTCTAATAAAATAAAATTTCAGCCAGTTAGACCATTCAAAGAATGTCATTCTCTATAGGTGAATTTTCCATGTAGCTGAGAATAAACCCTTTTGATGAACATAATTTTGGATGAACATGGTTCAGAAATTCTCTACCTATGGTCTCAGATTTGTCATTTTCACATTCCTCTTACCCTCAATACAATGGTGGTCTCAGGGCCTGCTGAGGTGTCTCAGGCTGCTTTTCCCCATACCAATATGTACTTTGAATTTTTTTTTTTTAATGATTGTTGAGCTTTTTGTTGTTTTTGCTTGCCAATACTTTTTTTCTTTTTGAGTTTTTTTGTTGTTTGAACTGGGACTTGAACTTGGTACCTAATGCTTGCTCATTGGCTGGCACTCTACCAACTGAGCCACCCTTCCAACCCCTTGGCAATACTTTTTGTGTACTTGTTTGCCAATATTTAGTGTTTCCCCTTCTAATTTGTGATTTCCAGTTATTTGGATATAGTAACCAGAAAAGGTTTACTAGAATTGGGCCTGTGAGTTTCCAGCTGAACCTTTGTGACTCTGTCTTTGAAGAATGTACATAGGTGGTTTTTTATTTTTTGTTTTTTGTTTTTTTGTTCAATTGTGGGGCTTGAACTCTGGATTTGGATGCTGTCCCTGTGCTCCTCAGCTCAAGAAGAGTGCTCTACCGCTTGAGCCACAGTGCCACTTCCGGTTTTCTAGTGATTTTTATTAGAGATAAGAGTCTCACAGACTTTCCTGCCCTAGCTGGCTTTGAACCGTGATCCTCAGATCTCAGCCTCCTGAGTAGCTAGGATTACAGGCGTGAGCCATAGGCGCCCAGCTACATAGGTGGTTTTATAGTGACTTGACAATGTCTTGTTAATGTGTAAATTAATTGGGAAAAAGAAAAGTCAGCAACAGATCAAACAGAAAAAAACTCTTCAAACTAATCATGTGTCTCTTTTGCTAGAGCCAGGCAGCTTTGGCTTCCATTTATTTATTTATTTATTTATTTTTTGGGTCCGGTCGTGGGGCCTGAACTCTGGGCTTGGGCGCTGTCCCTCAGCTCTTCAGCTCAAGGCTAGCACTCTACCACTTGAGCCACAGCGCCACTTCCGGCTTTTTTAAGTATTAACAGGATCAGTTAAAATAGTGACTTTAAAACAGTGTGTATAGAAGAGAAATGCTCTAGTGTTTTAATATGTTTAGTTGTGTTTAGTCCATTTTCTCTTCGTTCTGTCTGCCACAAAAATGGATATTTGAAATGGAGATCAGATATCTTCTAAATCAAGAAGAGTTCTTTTCATAAAGAACATGGATGAATATGGTAAGAATTTCATGTATATTGAATGCCCGGAAATCCTCTGCTGAATTGCAGGTAACTGTTACTAACAGACGCAGGGGCTGGACAAAACCAGATAACAAATCAAAGCATTCAGATTTATTTAAAAATCTTGAGCCTGTGGCTCACACCTGTAATCCTAGCTACTCAGGAGGCTGAGATCTGAGGATCGCAGTTCAAAGCCAGCCCGGGCAGGAGAGACCGTGAGACTCCTATCTCCAATAAACCACCAGGAAACCGGAAGTGGCGCTGTAGCTCAAGTGGTAGAGCGCTCGCCTTGAGCTGAAGAGCTGAGGGACAGCACCCAGGCCCAGAGTTCAAGCCCCATGACCGACAAGAAAAAAAAAAGTATAAATGTTTTAGGGCTGGGAAGGTGGCTCAGTGGTAGAGCGCTTGCCTTGCAAGCTAAGGGACAGTGCCCAGGCCTAGAGTTCAGGCCCCACGACCGGACCCAAAAAAAAAAAAGAGAAAGAAAATAGTTCAGCTAGGTGCTGATGGCTCACATCTGTAATCCTCGCTACTCAGGAAGCTAAGATCTGAGGATCACGGTTTGAAGCCAGTCTGGACAGAGAAGTCCCTGTGAGATTCCAATTAACCACTCAAAAACCAGCAGTGATACTGGGGCTCAGAGTGGTATAGCACTTAGTCTTGAGCATAATTGCTCAGGGACCACACCCAGACCCCAAATTCAAGCCCCACAACTGCAAAAAATAAAAGAGTTCAAACTCAAGGGAAAAAGGCTATAAAACCAGCAGTGATACTGGGGCTCAGAGTGGTATAGCACTTAGTCTTGAGCATAATTGCTCAGGGGCCACACCCAGACCCCAAATTCAAGCCCCACAACTGCAAAAAATAAAAGAGTTCAAACTCAAGGGGAAAAGGGTGAAAATGTTCAGTAGTCGAGCTCAAAATAAAACAGACACACACACACACAAATGTTCAATAGTCGAGCTCAAAATAAAACAGACACACACACACACACACAAATGTTCAGTAGTTGAGCTCAAAATAAAACAGACACACACACACACATACCCCAAAAAGAAAGGAAAAGAAAACAGTTTAAGCCAAGTGCCAGCAACTCACACCTGTAATTCTAGCTACTTAGATGGCTGAGATCTGAGGATCACAGTTTGAAGCCAGCCCAGGCAGGAAAGTCCATGAGACTTATTTCCAATTAGTCACAGAAAAAAACTGGAAGTGGCACTGTGGCTCAAGTGGTAGAGTGCTAGCCTTGAGGAAAAGGAGCTTAGGAACAGTGCCCTAGCCCAGAGTTTAAGCCCCAGGACCAGCAAAAAAGAAAAAGAAACAGTTTTTTAAAACTCTAGTGACAAATATTATTAAAGGAATAAAAATGATACAATATATATATACAAAATGCTGATTTAATATAAAAGAAAGCAGTAAAGGAGGAAAAGAATAACAAAAGAGACTGATAATGCACAGAAATTAAAACAGCAGACATAGATCCAGCTATATCAGTAATAATATTAAATGTGAATGTGTTAAGCAAAAGCAGAAGTTTAGACTGGATTTCAAAACAAAGCACCAAACTGAATTACCTGTTATCTTCAGGAAACAGACAGTAGAGTCAATGATACAAAGAGCCTGAAAGTTAAAGGATGGAAAGAATACAACAATAGTATTCATAAGAAAAAGACTTTAGTGAGCCGGGTGCTGGTGGCTTAGGCATATGTAATCTTAGCCACTCAGAAGTTTGAGATCTGAGGATCGTGGTTCAAAGCCAGCCTAGGCAGGAAAGCCTGTGAGAGTCTTACCTCCAATTAACCCCCAGAAAACCAGAAGGGGAGCTGTGGCTCAAAGTGGTACAGCACTAGCTTTGAGCAAAAGAGCTCAGATACGGTGCCCAGGCCCTGAGTTCAAGCCCCACAACTGACAAAAAGACTAAGTGATCCCTAAAGGGTCCTTGAAAGAGACTTGTTCTTAACCTAATATGGATCATAACTTCAGTGTTATCCCTAAATAACTTTCTGAGTTAAGAGAATTTCAGTGATGCCATCCTTAAATACAATTTTAGGAGATCTGAGTCTAATCTGGAGAATGGAGGCCTAAAAAAGGTCAAAAGATCTATTCTTATACAAAGCAACATGCATGCCAAAGCATATTCCTGTGACTAATGGAATAATCAGTCTGTAAAGGCCCATCCTGCTGGATAGAGAAGATGGGGGAGCGGGAGGGGCCTGGTAAGCGCAGGGAGGCTGGGAATGTGGCTTAGTAGTAGAGTGCTTGCCTAGCATGCGTGAAGCCCTGGATTCGATTCCTCAGTACCATATAAGCAAAATAAGCTGGAAATGATGCTGTGGCTCAAGTGAGAGTGCTAGCCTTGAGCAAAGAAGCTCAGGGACAGTGCCCAGACCCTGAGTTCAAGCTCCAGGACTAGCAAAAAAAAAAAGAGAGAGAGAGAGA